GAGAGAGAGAGAGAGAGAGAGAGAGAGAGAGAGAGAGAGAGAGAGAGAGAGAGAGACAGAGACAGAGACAGACAGACAGACAACTCGACTGGTGAGATTCTCTCGACGATAGAGTCACGCTCGGCTCAAACGATACCACTATTACATGTACGGAAGTATCGTTATACTTCTTCTCTTTCTTTTCCTGTTCAAACGCAGAAACATTATGGCTTACATGGCGTAGGCTATCCGGAAAGAGAAGAACGTCTGGCCGGTGGATGGTGGCACGTAGACGCATCGTGGGTCCGCGTGCTGACCCTTGGAAGAGACGATGCCCTCGAAGGGTTGCGAGAACGAGAGGTGGACGTCCATGTGGTCTTTTCCGCACATCACTTCCAAGGATTGAATGGCTGGCATGCCCTCTGGTCTCTCCAGCGGCCAAATGTCGCTGTTGCTACTGACGCTCCTCAGGCCAACCACCTGTGCGTTTAAAGAATACATAACGTACATATCTCCTTTGAACTCATGACCTTCATTCCCCTACTCTCCTCGTCCTCCACCTTGCCCTCTCTCTGCGTACCTCTTTAAACCGCTGTTTTTCCGCCGTTCCGTCGTTTCCTGCCTCATTGTCCGACACGCACGTACGTGTTTATGAGGCTCCCGGCTTCGGAGTTACGCATGTACAGTGATAATAATCAGTTGCCGACATGACTAGGCGTGCGGCGTGAGCGAATCTCTTTCGGACACGGATTGAAGCGAGGGGTCGCTGGTCATTGGGTCAGTACACGCGGTAAAATCGCCGTATCCGGAAGCAATGTGACCGAGTCCAAATAGACAGTAAATAAATAGTGTATAGATTTGGCAGCAACTTTGCTAGTCGATTTGTAAAGATTTAATTCCTTATAAGTAGTCCATGACACTCATATTTATTATATAGAATAACAAAGTGAAAATATGAAAGCAATACGGGAAGAATGTTCAAAATTTGCTTAAAACAAATTTCAAGTATGTAAAATACATAAAATGTAACACAAAATGTAATGTAAAAATCTAAGTGAAACTTTTAGTATATATTTGTAGCTGCATCAATACGCAGAGATTCCTTTTGATTTTTTAAATAAATCTTATGAATTGAAAATAAACTAAAAGAACTCTTTTGAAACTAATCAGGAATTAAAAAAAAGACTAATGAGAGTTCAGCACAGATGTTTTAGTGCAGTAAAATTAACGTAATAATTAGTGGATGTCCTTCATGAGAGGAAATTTATAAATTTATAAAAAAATACAAAGAATCAAACGCATTTTGGTCTTCTTCGCAGATCCTCCTCAGTGACTATATTTATCAATCACTACATCACTATATCACTGATGCGTTTAATTTTTTGTAATTTTTAATAAATTTATAAATTTTCCCTCATGAAGGACATCCACTAATTATTGCGCTGGTTTTATTGCACTAAAACATTTTTGCTGAACTCTCATTAACCCTTTTTTTTTTAATTCCTGATAAATTTTATGAAATTCAAGGAAATTTGTATCTCTATTGATAAATAATTCACATAAATCAATTTTTGATTCAACAAATAAGATTGTTTGGCTTTTCAAGTAATTTTATTTTTTGGTTTAAATCATTTATTATTTGATTCAAAGAAGAAAGTAGTTTTACTTAATTTTCTTATTTTATTAAGAAGGTTCAATTTTATTAAGAAAGGTCAATAATTCTTTAAATAATTTTAGGAAATCTGAAGTTTTCTTTAATGTATATTTTAATGTGTGATATTTGATATAAAATTATATCGTTTGAGTCAAACAAATCAAACAAATAGGAATTTTGAATCCAAAGAAACCTTTTTCTTATATAAAAATTAGCAATATCAATCAGCTTAGGCGATATACTTATAATGCATCTTTATGTATTAACGTACAAAATACTTTCCCATGCCATACGTACTGATAATCGTCGAATACAATACGACAAAAGTCGATATATATAACGATATTGACAGAACATACATTAGTAAATTGGTGATGTCATGATTGCTCTTAGATGTTTAAATATTATAGTCAAAACAATAATATAGCTTGAAATTAGAGTAAAAAAAGAAAGCAGTTAAAATAATTTTTTTCAGTCAAATAACATGATCTAATTTAACAAAATAAAATATAACGAAATAAAACATATTATTTGGTTAAAAATCAAATTTTATTTTTTTCAAATAACTCTATTTTCTTCCATCAAAGCAACATAGTTTAATCTAATAAAACAAATTATATATAAAATTATGTAATTTGATTCACATGAAATAAACAAGAGTATTTAAAAAACAAATGAAAACTGTGATTATAACAAAACATTTACATTATTGGAGATTGATTTTTTCAACCTTTTGAAACACTAACTAATGAGTTAACTCATATGTTTGTCTTTGCTTCTCCTTCAAATTAGATACAGATAAACATATGACTTAATTGTTAGTTTACCAAAAGATTGGAACATATAAATTTAATCCTGGATCATATAAATTTAATGATTAATTCAATACATTTATCTCTTTCACTGATACAATAAAAAAATTGTAGAGTTCTCATCATCGATCGTCTTATGTGGTGGTGATCATGAAAGTCTACCTGGATGTGATTGCGCAGATCATAGTTCGCAGTAAAATGACGGCTACGATCGTCCGGGGCGCGCACTCACAATTATCAGCGGTATTCGCGCAAGGGAAAGAAACGCCGGCGAGTATGATTGCCGATAATCGGAGCGGCCATAAATACCGATCGTTATTTTCGCGCGGCACCGTCGCGGCGAATTACTCCGAGAAATAAGCAGCCGAGTCGGCGTAATTGAAACATCCGTCCTTAATATCCCCGCGTCGGGAATCATTAGCTATAAATCAACTTTATTACCGTATATTCGCATCGAGTACTCTTTTTTGCGCGTGTAAAGCGCGTCTAGAGAGAGAGAAAGAGATAGAGAGGGAGGTTTTCTCTCCACGGGGGCTGTAATGAAAACCTAAGTGCCGGTGCGTTTTCGCTCTGCCCGCCCATTAGAGAACCGGGATAATCCATACGATTTAGCCATAAATACCCCCTCACGCTCAATCGGAAACTGACGATCTCGCGTGCGTACAGCTCCCGCCGCCGTCGCCTCTGCCGGCTAATGCCGGCGCGCTCTCTCGCCGAGGTAATCGCGGCACGAGCCGCACGACAAACCGGGACCGTCTTGGCGATCGCGCGACGTGCGTCCGTCGGGAAATTAATCAACGCCGCATACACGCCGGCTTCCACCTCGGTACCCTCGCTTGAACTTCCTGCATCGAGGTATCCGCGGTCGATTGTGTGACGCGCAGATGCTGTTAGATCCTAGTCGCGTGTTGCGCGGCTCGATGCACAGCGTATGACTGCAACGACTGAGAAGCAACGACGACGAGTGTCGCTCGGAGGTGTTCTTGCGGTGTTCTCAGCTGGCTCGACTGGTTTTCATCGCGATATCAACCGCTCGGCCACGATAATTAAATTTGCTATTACTTCTTCGCTATTTATTGCTTTAATAACACGACGCTGTGATCATTCATTACGGCGATATGAGCCGCTAACAGCCGCACGCGACATGAGCGCACGTGTCTGTCTGGCTGGGAACGTTCCTCGTTGATCTCGTAGTCGATCCAGATAGACAGGGATAAGATAATCTGGCAGCAGCTTTATCAATCTTATCAACCTTGGCGATATGCCAAGGTTGTATCTCTTATGAGTGGGGCTCTTTCTCTCTCTCATATGACATTTATGTCACGTAAAATAACGAAATAGAGATACAAAAGAAATGCGGAAGTAATTACACTGGTCAATAGGCAATTTGTCACATAGAATTTCTGCTGTTTTTCTTACTTTTTCTTACTTGTATTTTTATGTATAGAATGCGAAAATGAGCTCAGAATTTCTTTATAATTTTCAGTTTTTTGTGACAGGCACCTGAGATTTAATATATTGTGTATGGGACATTCCCACGCGCGTGCAAAATTCACAATTTGGTTTAATACTAAATTTTTAGATGTTTTTAGACCGCTTTTATTCTATCAGTATTAAATATTTTCCATAAAAAGGGAACTATTTTCCATTACAAAGGAAACTTTTCCATTCAAAAGAGTGCTATATGTTGACACAATACAGCCTCGTATTTTGCGTTGTTTATTTATTTGATTATATAGAATTACAAATGTTTAAATAAAATAAAAGTTTAAATGTCAATAAATATATCGACCTTATATTATATAAAACGTACGTACCTCATATTATATAAAAAAACGACATACCTCATATTATATAAAAAAACGATGTACCTCATATTATATAAACGAAAAAAAATCTTTTTATTTACTAATTTCTTCTTGTTTCTGATATATAGCATGGGGTAATTTTCCATACATTATATGTGACATTTGTGTTTTCACCTTGTACAATTATTTGTAATTCTGTATAGCCAAATAAACAAAAACAGTGCAAAATATTAAAACTGCATTATGTCAGTATCCAGCAACCCTTTAAGTAACATATTTGTTTCTAAAAAGCCATTTAGATTAACAATTTTTTTCCTTTTACGCGATCTTTTTCCAATTAGGCACAAGATATAATAAAGACGAATATATTTTATATTTTTAAAAGCGTACCACACAGGCCAAATATAGTAGAAAATCATTACTTCTACATTTTAAATTAGGTAAACCATGTTTATACACATGAAGAAATGGAATTTTCTTGAAACTTAAAAATCACATCACCACGAAACCTTGGGTGATGGAAAAAAATCTACTCGTTTTTTTAACTTAGCGTGAAAAATACTATGTAGATTACATAATTTAATCCATATAATGAAAAAAAATTTTTCTCTTGTGTAGAGAGAGTAGTGTTAAAATTTATTTGAAACAACATGTCATATATAAAATGTAATATGAAAATTTGAGAGTAATCTTTAGTAAATTTATCACACAATATAATAAAAAAAATTTACACTAAGATATGACGCAAATATAATGATTGATTCAATACAGTACATTTACTTCGTAAATATAATTAAAAAAAATTCGTCAGGTTTCCTTCGATCGTCTCACGTCGTGACAATCTATCCGAGCAAGAGCCGAGATCGCAGTCACGTTAGGCTGTAGGACAAAAGTGCGAGCCGCGAATGCGAAGAGAATGTATGGAAAATATCGTCGGGGTATGTATAAGTGCAACGCGCCGCGGGCGGGTAATCGCGAATCCGTCGATAGTCGCCGGCGCGCATCGGGCGTGCCGAATGTTTCCAGAAACTAGGGGATGCTACACGCACGCTGTATATTTATTGGCTCGCGGCTGTACGAAATCCGTGACGACGGTATTCGCGCACATGCGAACATGCGAGCGAGCGAGCGAGCGCGCGGAGCAAGACAAGGTGTTCCCTGTGTATTCCGCGCCGTAACGGGAGAGGCGTCTTTACCGCTGCATTA